CGATTAAATCCATAAAATTGGGGCAGGAACTGTATCGCATGTCTCACATGCAGCTTAATCTGCGAAACCTCGTTTCACAAACCAAGGCTGACGAGGGCCCGGCCATATTTACGGGGTGGGGTGTTTTTATGGGATGTGAGGGGATGACACTACATCTCAGTCTACATGGCCGAACGCAGACAGTCGAGCTCTGCGTCACTCTCAGCCTCCCCACTTCCTCCTCTCGTCTGTGCTCCTGCTTACGGTGTGCTTGGCATCGGTCCGTCATGGGCGCATGTGGGGGCAATGTTGCAGTAAGGGAAACCGTCGCCCTATTTGCCTTCACTGCTAAAAGCACTGCATGCTGGACAAGATGGCCGCCTGTGGAAATGAGGAAACTAGCCCCCAAAGCCCAAGCCGCCTACCGCTTTAGAATGGCTTCTCACAGAATTTAAGGGCTCGTTACTGGATGTTATGCAGTTATAATTTTCTATCACTTGTATAAATGGGGATTGGTGATTGGTGCTTTATGCAAAAGTCCTCCTGCAAAGACAGCTCACTTCCTGTAGCCTCCTGACTTTTATCTACAATTCTGGTCACTGATCTATAATAATATGAGTTTCTTTTTTTTTCCTCCCAGCCAAATCTAACATGAGTAATACCTAGCATTTGACTAAAATGTACATTGAAATGCAAAAATTATAGACGACTCACCAAAGCAGGCCCAGAAGCCATTGAGCTGGGTAGAGTTTTGTTGAGTCTTTGCACACTCAAGGAATGAAGATTGGGACATCAGGACACTCCGTCGCAACATTTTTAATGTTAAGCTAGTACTTGTCAGGTCTGCTTGACAGATTTTGCAATTCTAAAATACTCCAACACATTTAAAACACGGAGGCAGAAAAAACCCTCAAGACAACTGACTATTTTTATTTGCAGAAGTGGAAAGTTCAGGTCCAGAAAGTCCAAATCCAGACCAAGATTTTGTTTCAGCCAACGAGTTGAGGTCTCTGTGACTGTGACTCTTTATGCTTAAGTGGTTGGTTGAGACAAAACTGGATTTGTAATTTCTGGACCTGAACTTTCCACCTCTGTTTATTTGTTATCCCAGAACTGCTTATTTTTAAAATCAATATCTTTATTGGTTTTTTCCCAAATTATATGCACAAACAATAACAACAAAAGAAACAAAAAGAATGTGAAGAAACATCTGCATATTTGCAAACATCTCATACAATGGCAGCGATTCAAACCACAAATGACAGATATTCATTTTCGTAATATAAATACATAATTTAAATGAGACTTAAATATTTTTCTTTCACAAAGTATTTACCCTAAAATAAACTTTCACTCTCCTTCTCCATGCTTCTATGATGCTCTAGAAACTTTAGAAAGACCCATATTTCTCTGAAATTCTCCATTTCTGATTTTAGGAAATAAGTGATCTTTTCCAGTGCAAGGCATGGAAATCATCCCCTTCAGCCACTGTGACACTAAAACAGCTCATTTATATTATAAACATATTGCATGTGTATGAAACAATTTTAAAGTAGGTCAAACCACCGGCTCCCCTTGCCCCATGCAGTCTATGCAACATGAACTGGTTTACGAACATCAAAAGACTGGGAGCCCTTACATCAAAGGACCAAAAGGTGAGGAGATATCTTGGAAGCCTGAGGTCCAGGTCTCAGGCACACTCATTCAGGAGACTGCTTGGTGTTTTTCACGCTGGCTCACCCTTTCTGCACATCTCTACCTCCACCAATTCTCAGCAATATCTCAGATTTGACAGCTCCTTGCACATAACTATCATCTTAGCACATCACATATCTTTCTCCGGCTGAACTACTGAGTTCACGCTTGCGAATAATGTACCCAACTTGGGTTCAGGTATCTCTAACCCTGCCCCTTTCTCTGTCTTCAGGACTTCAGTGCTGTCTGCATGCCTGTAGCACAGTTAGCTCAGGGTTGGACTGATGTGTATGAAGAGAGCTCAATCCCCAGTGAAGCAGCTTCACTCACTATTTCATTTCTCCCACATGCTTTGTGCTGTATTGGTCTAGCTGCAGATTAGTTCTACTTGGGCTACCCAGATCACTGCTGTTCCTTCTGCACTTCAGGATGCCCTTGAATTCAAACCGAGCCGCTCCCTTATGACAGACCCATAATGAGGAGCTTCTGTGGAAATCAGAGCACCAAACTGCAGACGGTATTGGGGGTTTTGACTGTTTCCTCCATGGAATTTCCCCACAGATATGATCAAATAACAGATTTATCAAAAGCCATCGCAGGCGGCAGCAGCAGCTTCTCTGAAGACTGACAGTCTGCTAAGTCAAAAAAGGAATTATAATTGACCTCAGGTTTCATTGGAGTTACAGTTGCCATATTCCATGGTATATCTGCTGGAAGATACCACTTTTCTCATCAAGAGAGGGGTCTTCACCAGTGGTGTAGTCTGTGAATTAGAGGGACAATTAGTAGTGACAATCAAGCTTACATGTGTTTCAACTGATATATGCTTTAGTGGTGACTTCATCTAAACAAAATTCTGTATCTTTCCAGTAGCTACCAACAGTCATCTTACTTTATGACATACTTAATATGTAGCTCTCTTTGCATCAGACCTGCAAAGTCTCACAGTTTTCCTGCGACTCGCATTTCTTATCTCAGTTCCTATGATGTGAAATGACTTTCACAGTTTTCAGAGCTGCGAGATAAGGAAATTGTTCTGGTTTTGCCGGTATAGTTCCGTTATTGTACAAAGAACCCTCCTTCTTATAGCCTTGCGGGGAGGTACCGGCTGTTTAGTCACATGACCTTGACATGACCTGCCTTCAACATGAGCGCGTGTCCAGACTGGAGCTTGAGTTCCCCCCATGGCTGGGTGCCACCTTGACAGCCTTGGTTCGTGAAGTTTTTGAAATTCTCCGATATTTATGCTTTATTGGGTTTTAGGTTTAAATGTACCTGGAGATCAGGTTGTGCAGCGCTAATGGATTGCGTATCGCTTTCCCAAATTTTAGCAAAAGTAAAATACAATGGGGCTAGTGCCAGCTATGACTAACTATATACATTATATTCATCCATTTTCTAGCCAGTTGTCCTCTTCAGGGTCAGATGGGGAACCTGGAGTCTATCCCAGGCAGCATGGGGCACAAGGCCAAGGTATATCCTGGACAGGATGCCAGTCCATCACAGGGCACGCACACACAATCATAAATTTACAGGCACTAATTAGCCTAGTTGCATGTCTCCGGACTCAGGGAGGAAACCAGAGTGCATGGAGTTAACCTGCAAAACAACAGGAGAACATGCTATCTCCCATGTGCATGCAGGATTTGAGCACCCAACTGTGGAGGTATAAGGCAGTAGCGCTTCCCATTAAGCCACACACACATACTGTACATTATGCTAATTAGTATATACATCATCTATTCTTATAGTGGTATATCTCAGTAGGTTGAGGCTACTGCAGTTGTTTAGGGCTTGTATAGCAAATATTACTATGTCAGTCCATTGCAGTAACTTGGCTTCCTAAGTTAGTATAGGAATAAACAGCACGTACTCCCTGGGTTGTATTTTTGTAGGTTTAGGAGGGTAGAACGTGTTGTGATCCACCGGGAATGACTGACCTGTTGACAACCACTGGTGTAGAATATTGATTCTACATCTGAACTTTTTCAGTGCGCTGACGAGTATAAGGTTAACAACAGCCTCCTGCAGCAGTAAATTAGGAGCAGGGAACGAGCTACTAACATCTGTCAGAACTGTGGAATCACCATCCTTATTTATTTGATACAAATGAAAAAAATGCCTTTTCAGGCTTTACCTTTATCTCCAAAATGATTATGTTGCACTCCACCATTTTTGCACTACAATGGAGGAACTAGTCGCTACACAGTGTTAAGCTGAGTGGATCAGTGGGCTAAGTCTCTCTGCCTGTGATCAGAAGGTCGCTGCTTTGAGCCCCAGCCTCAACAGAAGAGTCACATGTCCATGGGCTCTGGGGCAAGGCCCTTAACCCCCAGCTCCCAGGGCAGCTGTACAATGGCTCACTCTGTGCTGTGACACCTGAGCTAGGAAGAGCAAGATGGAGCAGGTGAAGAGACAAATTCCTATGTACTTGTGCAACGACCAATAAAGGATTATTATATAGTAAAAGGAAACTTCTGCTGTCTATTTGGAATGCATTATTTTGAGAGTTTCTGCTAAATTAATAAAATAGGGACAAACCAAAAGGACGCTGGGGTTTTGTCATCTTTAATGCTACAGCATATTTGTGAATATTAGGCCAGAAGGATAAGTTTTGGTGGCACAAAAGCCTCACAGCTCCTGGTTCCTGACTATGATGCCCCCCAGCCAAGTTTCTATGAAGTTCTCATGTTCTCCCCATGCTTGCAAAGGATTCCGCAGGTTACCATGGTTTCCTTCCATAGTCCAAAAACAGAGGGTGAATGTCTGCTCTGCGATGTACAGGCATCCCAGCCAGGATGTCCTTAGCCAGGTGCATCCTGGGATAGGCTCCAGACGCAGCCACAACCCAGCACTGGATAAACGGTTAAGATATCATTCATGTATAACTTTAACTAACAATTATAAAGTCTGTCTCATTATGTAAATGTCATAGCAATTTGTATGTATATATTTCTACCTAACTACAAGTGCTTATTTTTATATAATGTAAATTGATCATGGGTATATTCCATCTGAGCGGACATTTGGTTTATAAACAGTCCAATTCTCACAAAATATAATCAAAATTTAAACATAATTTCCATCTGTTTTGGCCTCTCTTTCAGCAAGATAGGGTCGGAAGGTAACATGATGTTTAAAGGCTATTGTTTCATGACAAAGGTTCTCTTAGTGTTTTAATAAATTATGAACGGAAAATTTCATAAACAGCTGCAGGTAGGCAGAATCTCACCCACAATATGTCATTATTTAATAACATTTTCTCAACACAAAACCAAATAAGTGTGTTTCTCTGATCACAAACAGTAAAAAAAAAAATCAGCCACCAATGTTCCACCAAAGTTTTAATCACAAAGAAAATAACCAGTTTACTCAGTGCAGTAAAAATTAATTTAAATAAAATAACACTTCAGAAACTCTACTCTGGTAAAATATTCTATTTTATAAAGTGAAATACATTGCAATTATCGCATCTGATACAATCTCCAAACTGAATTTAAAAATGACATTTTCAAAATTCTCTACAAAAACAATATGAAACTCCATGTAACTCAGCAAGTTCTCCTCAGTCTTAATATATTCAAATGTTACTCATTTAAAATCTGTTATATAAACTATACTATGTTAAAGAACATTTGGCCCATTAGCAAACATCTTTTTAATGGTGGAGAGAACGCAATCATTCCTTCCCAATAAATATGACAGTGCAACAGATCATCTAATCAATGACACTTAACAGACATGCTTTGATTGCCTTTGATCTTGTTTAAAGGCCCATCTGACACAAGCTGGTTCATGAATACTAAACTGTACTTTGAAAACAAGGTCTGTTTTTTCCACTGGTCTTCTGTAATCTCAATGGTCTAGCTTTGAAGTGAACTCAAGTATTTTGGTAAACATGAACTTCATATTACTGTTATGCATTTAAATCCAAGTTTTGCATTTCACAACACAACTGACTTTCAACAAATGAAAATAATATTAATAATAATAATAATAATAATAATAATGATTATGATAATAATAATGATGATAATGATATTCCAATTAGTAGTAAGGAATGTAAGAGAATTGTATTTCTAGACATGAAAAGTACATACTTCCAAACACCACAATCTAGTTACATTTCTAGAGTCACTTCTTGCATATTTTGTATTACTGTCCATATGGAATGTGCGAAGACCACCACTGGTGTCCTTTGAAGGTAAGCATGTTCTGTGCAGGAGGACATACTTCCCAGCTACTTGTCCTTCCTCGTCTCTGTGTGTGAGCCTTTCACTGATCTCTTGCCGCCTGTTTCTGCTGCGGAGTTTGTGCGTTTCTGCGTGGCACAGGCTGCTGCGCCTTTGTCGGAGTTCTTTCCTGAGAGATGGGCGAGGGTCCCGGGGTAGACCTGAGTCGCACAGCTAGGCTGCTCTGGTTGCAAGGCAAAGAAGGTGCGGTACAGCACCCCCTCCAGGGGTGCGAGGGGTGAAGAGGTAGAACCGGTTAGCATCATCCAGACCTGAAGATAGACAGGAATACTTTAGAAATCAATCATGGAACCCTCATCTTGTCTGTGTTTTTTCATATAACAATTTAACCCATTTGTCTCTTCTTATTCAGTACAGGGTCCTGGTGAACCCTAGATCATTGTTTGTATTTGTGTATTATTTGTTCCAAAGGCAGTTTAATACATGTTAACTACAAGTCTTTGTCTTGGATATGGAACATGGAAATAACGTGGAAATCCAACACCCAGCCAAGTACCGTACATCCCTGAATGTATGAGGCCGCACAGAGCTGCAAGTTTCTAAAACAATGTGTTAATGCAGATCACTTTGTCCCTTCAGGCAGAGTCCAGTGACACACAAATGACTAATTCTATTCTTTTGCACACAATCTGACTAAATGAGGAAATGGATCAATTAGCTCTGTGGTTATGTGCGCTTTTTTTGTATGAGCTGCCTCACTCACAATATGGGATGAGACATAGCCCAGCTGTCCCAGAGGTGACAAACCCTAGATATGTCATTTGTAGGAGCCTGTATCACAAAGTTTGGCAGCCTTGCTGCACGCCTCATGTCATGTTCTCACACAGTTTCATACGCTGGCCTGCAGCATTGCCGTAATTAGCTACAATTATCCCTGATACCTCTGAAACTCATGTTCACTTTCTGCAGTACATAACACATAAATCCCATAACAGTCATCACTGACGTAATGCATAAATCAACCACAACTCCCAACAGAGTTAGATGAAATAGAAAACAGATGAAGAAATGGAAGGAAGACATAGAGTATAGATGCATCCACCTTCCCATAATGAGGGAAGGCTCTCTGGCAGCCTCAGACTACACTAACAAGATGGCCACACAGTCAAGTCTAAATGGGACCGTTGTGTACTTCCCCTTCTTGGAGAAGACAGATAGTTCACCAGTAACTGTCCACCAAGATGCCTACTTCTTCAAAACCTGTCTGCCGCAAGAAAAGCCGTGCACCTAACGGCAGAGAGTGATGGATGATGGCATGGTCATGCTGAGAAACAAGAGCGGGGAACCAAAGCAAACACGCGGTTTCCACAATGCAGGAGCCCATTCACAGCAGACAGGCGCTGCTTGGTTGCTATGGCTACCGGACTGGAAAGAACCGGCGGGAGAACAGAAAATATAGGGAATTTACAATCTGAATACATGGGGTCAGAGACGCATTATTAAAACTGGTGTTTTTCAGTGACTTTTTGATATAGTTCAGGATGCTCACTTTTGAAGTCACTGATGAATAGAAACACAACCAAAGGAATGAGAGGGCATGGAACATCAAAGATCTGAGTTTGACGGACTGCTTTCCAAAAGGGTTCTGAGATGTGTTATTAAACATATTAAATCTCCATACGAAGTAAACAATAATAGCAAAATAAATAAATAAAAATGAACAAGACTTCGGAAATTAGGAAAGATACGGATCTTATATGTTATGACATATGTAGAATTATATCACAGCAATGTTGACTACAAAAACACAGCTATAATGTTGGTCAAAAGAAAATAATCACAAAGCAAAAGAAAAAGTGTTGAAAAAATCTGGCCTATGTATTCAAAAATTATAAATTCAGTCTGAACACAATCTGACTGTAGATCTGAGCAGAAGAAATGTAAATTAACGCTTTTGTTGTTCAGAGAATTAACAGATCATAGTGCTGATGGGCAAACAGTCAGACCTCAATCTGAATCACAATTGGGTTCCACTATAAACAGAACCATAGCACTGACTTTGAATGCCTCTTGCAAGAAACCAGCCAAACTATTAAAAAAAATACTTTGTAAATCCTAAATGTATGACTTTAACTTTATAAGTCTATGGTATGATATATTAAGAGTAAGAATATATTTTATTCTTAATCAGGTGCATGAAAAATCAATATCACCTTGTTGACGACAAGAAAAACAGTGTAGGCGAATATGAGGTGGTGCTCCTTGACCGGAAGTCGGTAACTCTGCTGCAGCGTGAAGAGGACCGCGCCCACCAGAGTCACCTTAGTGGGGCTGAAAAATAAATAACACACACACCACAGTAGGATGAGAAAATAAGTACAAGAATAAGTGGTGTTTTTTAACAGTGTTGGACATATGGATTCTCACATCTGATTCGCATTGCATTGATATCAATGGATTAATGTGACCTAGCTTTTTTTTTTTATAAAACAAAACAACCTGGAAAACCGCATTTTGCAATTATTTATTCAACAGAAATCGACAGAAATGCGATTCACACAAGGTGTCAGGGGATTCTCGAGCAGAATGCCAGTCCATCTGTCAGGAATCTGAAGTAGAACCCAAAAGGGAGCTTGCAGCAGGAGGACTACCAAAACACTTAAGCAAATCCATAACAGAGCAGCTCATAAAAGAAGAGTTTTGAAATGGCCGAGTCAAAACAGATCTGAATCCAACTCAAATATTGTGAGGGGACTCAAAGCGGGCTCTACATATAAGAAAGCTGTCAAACATCACACATTCGAAGCAGTTCTGTATGGAGGAGAAGGCCAAAAATCTACCCCGTCGATGCAACACAGATGGACAGTTACAAGAAATGCTTATATAAAGTTACATTGGCTAATAGGGGGCAAATCCAGCTCAGAAGCCGGGGCTACACAAACACAGAAAGATGCATCTATTTAGAAATGTACATTTTCAATGTTATTTGTTACATTAGATCACATTAATCTATTATTTGAATGGAAACGAGAATCAGATGCCAAACGCTGCAATATTTCAGAGGGTTCACTTTTTTTTTTTTTTTTAGACAGTACCTTTTGTGTACTTGTTAGGCCTAAATGCCGAGGTGTCAAAACTCCTGGAATATCTGACATACATGTTGTGGGCAACAAGAAGATCATTCTGTTGTCTATATGGCAGATAATTGCTTTACATTTCATTTTAATACTTAAATTGGTTTTCAAAATCAAGCACATACCCTAGATTGTACCTAAAAGTATCATTTTGCATTCTGTGTTGTGACATTTATCTGGTGCCCGTTGCTGTGGTATCAGCGGTATAACAATATCATTCCACAATTCATGTTAATGATGATTAACTAAATTAAGCAGTTTCACAGTTTCATTGACTGAACTAGTGTCAAGATATTACCTATGATGACCTATGACATACTAAAAGGGTATGTGGATTTCTCCGTGAATATTTCTTGACTTGGAAGAGGAACCAATGTTAATAAACTACATCAAAAAAACACACATTTTAAATAGCCATATCTTGATTTTACTGTATGATTCGAACAACCAATGTGACAAAAAAAGGTCTGTGAACCTCAAGTGTTACAATCAACTGTAACACCTGCCCTGCTGCATAAAATGAAACCAGATCAGTTTGGTCACTGCTCTTTGAAACTACATTCTTTTCAAGTGAAATATGGTCCAATCAAAATGATTTCAGCAGGTCATAATAGAAGCTCATAAGACTGGAACGGTTACAAAGGGATTTCTATCGACATGTGCCTCTACTAGTCCATGGTCAGGATCAGGTCATATTTTATCACCCACATGCATAGGGACCCAGAAAATACCACACACTTCTTCTCATGACTGTGCAATTTTCCAAGCAATAGCAGGGAGCTCAAATCTTAAAAGCCAACTGGCCAAAAAGGATAACTCACTATGACATTTTCAGAAGTTCATTGGTCTCCGGTTTCCAGACTCCCCTAACTAGTTGCTCAAAGTTACTGATAAGCCCTCCCCCAGCACCTGGGGAGAAACAGGAAAATGTTATTTTCTTCTTTTCATGCCATCAAATTCACTTTTTATAATACACATGCTAATTAAAATGAGTGAATTTCATTTTTGTTGATTCCGACCTGTTACTAAGCACTGATTAAATGGAATGAAAACATTAATTATACCAGGCAGGCAACATAATATATATAACATTTTGAAATGGGATGTGTCAGCTTTGAAAACAAAAATATAAAATGCATTATGCATTGACGATATTTTAAGTCAATAGAGAATCATATATCCTGTCTCAATAAACCTTACCGAAGTGTGGGCTGGTAAACAACAGCAAAAGTAAAGCTATTCAGAGGCTGCATGCAGTGCTCATTACTCAAAATCTTCCTCTGAGCAGATTACCTCTGGCCCAGCCAACAGCAATCATCACCAGCAGGGCATCAGTGTACTGCTTTCGAGCCTGTGTGACCCCTCCCAGGACCTTCCAGGTGCGGGACACCTCCTTCATTCCAGACAGCACCAGTCGCACCGGCAGAGAAGCAGAACAGCGGTATACAAGGTTTGCTGGGCAGTAGAAGACCAAGTACCTAAGAAAAATGCAGCATGGAAACATGGACAATAAATTGAGCAGAAAATGCAACATCATTCACTCACCAATGGGCTTCATTTACTGACTTGTGTGGCCGTCTGTTAGACGCCATTTTCAGGAAAATAGTTTCACTATATTCAGAAATTGAGCAGCCGTTGAAAATCTAGGCCACAGTCAGCTCAATCCATATGATGATCTCGTGAATCTTCTAGAATGTTCCATAAGAATAAGCAAACACCTTTACTGTACATGGGGTACTGAGGGATGGAAGGCAAAGGAGATAATTGAGTGCCACTATCCGTCAATTTCATAGAAACAGTCAGGCTCAGATTGAGATGGGCCACGGCATCGAACCCAGTGCCGTACTCACTGTAAATACACAGTGCAGCTCCCGCAGATTTGCTGATATGAACGAGGGGAAATTCATTTTCACTAATATGACGAAGACCACGTGCAGAAAGAGCTGGCAGATGTTGATTCCTTATATACTGTGCTGTATTCAGCACCACACAACAACATCCTTAGACTTAAATGAAACCCTTTTTTTCCAGTAACTTTTACGAAAATTACTATAGTACAATAACCTGGCATAATTTAGCTAATTTCTATTGCATTGAAATAATTTCAACAACCTTTAATATAGTGTATGTAGAATAAAATTATCCAATTATAAAATTGTTCCCATTGCAGATCGCTAAGATCATTGTCACTCTAAAAAGGATCGAATGGAGACAGCTTTACTTCTGCTCCACTAGAGGGTGCTACCACACTGAAGTTACATCAGTGAAAAAAAGTGTGAACCCTTTGGAATCTGAGGCAATAACAAACTGCCTTATTTAACAAACAACTCACTCATTTCTCATTGCCATATCATTACTGAACAAATCTGTATAAAACACTCATGGTCACTAATAGGAAAAGAAGCACGTGAACCTCTGGGATTGACCGAGCGAAAAGACGGTAATTGGAGTCAGATCTTCCAAACAATTCAGGTATGGGTATGACTTGCCCTGTCATATTAAAAACAAAATCACAATTTTAGTTACCTGTTGTAAAGTGCAACCTGGCCTAACCAAAGAAGACTTCAGAGGACCTCAGCAGAAAAGTTATTGAAGCTCATTGGACTAGAAACAATAACAAAACTATTTCTAAAGATTTGGTCCTCCATCAGTCCACAGTCAGGCAGACACTTTACACATGTTTGAAACTCAGTAGTGTCACTATTCTCCCTCACAGTGGGTGTTGTGCAAATATCAATGCAGGAGTATGTTGAAAGATCTTCAAATAAGTAACAAAAAAGCCTAGGGTGACAGTTAAGGATCTGCAGGCACTTCTTGCACTTGATAATATCTGCGTTCATGAGTCTGTATAGGAAACACACGAGTGGTGGTTGCCACAGAGAAAACCACTGCTGTCCAAAAGAAGAAAATGCATTGCTGGCCATCTCGTTTGCTCAAAGGCACCTAGATGTTGCACAGCACTACTGGACCAATGTTCTTTGGACAGATGAACTTTCTAGTAAATATACACAGCAATATGTTTGAAGGAAACAAAACATGGCATACCAACACTAAAATATCATCCCCGTTGTGAAGCCAGTAGGAGGGAGTATATTGGCTTGGGGATTCGCTTTGCTGCCTGACTGACTGACTGACTGACTGAATGCTTTGCAAATACTGAATCATAAGTTTTATTGTGAAATTCTACAGCAAAATGTCAAAGTTTCTGTCTGTAACCTTAAACTCCAAGAAAAGCTGGGCCATGCAACACGACAATAATCCAAACAAAAACCCAAACAAACACAGCAGTAAATCAACAGCGGAGCGGCTCAAACAAAATATATTCTGTATTTCAGAATGGACAAGTCAGAGTCCTGGCCTCAGTCTCACTGAAATTGTGTGGGATGTGAAGCAGCCCATTCAAGCAAGACATCCCAAAAATGTATACAAACAGAGACTGTAGTGCTGCAACGATGGAATATCATGACATTCAATTTCTCCCTCAGAATTTTTGATTATTCTATAGAATTGTCTGAATTTACTTTAAGAGCAAAAAGTGGTTTGATGAAAGGTGCCAAATAATTTAACATACTCTGCAATGAACAGCATAACTTACACAAAACACCTTGTGAAACACCTTTTCACAAACAACTACTTCCAATTTTTACATCATGGGTCATGTCCCCAATTATAAAAAGTCTTTATTACAATGAAGGAATGTCAACATTTTGAAATTATCTTGAGTTAGGCCCCTTTCCAGTCGGCTCCATACAAATATGCTTGTATACAACTGGAAATAAGCATGGTGTTTGAAGGGGTAACATACAAGGAAGAACTTCACTGTTTTCTATACATATGACAACAAAACTATTGAACCGAGTCCTAGTCCAATAAAGGTTGGCTACTGCAGATAAGGATATTTTTATGCAATACAAGCTGAGTGATGTCATTACAAAAATAATTTAAAATATTCTGATTTTTTGGATGTCTTCAAAAAAAAAAGTGTCTTGTATCTAAAAACATAAATATAAAGAGACATAATGACATTTTATAAAGTGTATTGTTAAAAAAAAAAAGCTGTGTTTGAGGTAGACATGGAAATGAGTAGTCGGGCACTCGATTATGCAAAAGTGCACTTCTATAAAGTGCACCCATGTACTCAACAGTGAAAGCAGAGATGTGTTTGAATATTTATACATTGAAAAAATCCTTTTAATACGCACAATCACAATGCAGTTAAATTAGGTGAAGGGCTGGATGTACTTTTCCTCTGAGTGTGATCGCCCTGTGTGCAGTAAAATACTCCACAGTCTGAGGACAAATTGACACTGAAAGTTTACTACTTTGCGAGTAACATAACTATTACTTATATTTGTTTCAAACTAGCAAGCTGACATAAGTTACCTCATGCTGCACTGGGACGTTTCCGTTACAAACGCTCTTTCGTGCTCATTATGCTGTCATGCCAGTTTATTTTTACATACTTCACAATGCGCATAATCACCCTCCCGTGCGAGAATGTCACACCTCAGACTGTTTTTGCTGTTAACGACCAGCTTGGTTTTCTTGCCTTCCCTCTGCCATTTTTCCCCTCTCAGTTTTAATTAACATGGCACTAATTGTCACTATTTCTACTCTGTGTTAAGATAACGGAAACAGATAACGGAAAGTTCTATAATTCTCCAATTTGCGTATCAAACTAGCTTTTATAAATTGTTCAAATGTTTTTTTAATGTATTGAAATGGTATTAAAATTACCCCTCTTGCTCTCGTTTGAGAGACAGACACACATACATAAAGTTGAGAGCAAAGGTTGGGGTCCGAGTGCAGGGTCAGGCCATTTATCCAGTGAACCTGGAGCATTCTGGGGGGTAAGTACCCACAATGACCCACCAGACACATGGCTATTCTTACAAGGACAGGATCTGAACCAGCAGCCTTCCGAGCACAGGGACAGAGCCCTGTCCCACTGAGCCACATGCTGCCCCCCACTGATTATCTGTCCTACAGTTTTGCTTTGAGGAACAGGTCAGAACACCTCCTCACCAGTGTGTAGGTCTGAGAAGCTGCCACAGAAAGCATTCTGCTAAGGTTACTGTTAATAAATATTAGGGTTCACATACTTTTCCCTAATAAATTACACTAAATCTTTAAAGTATTTATACAATAAAGATAAAGCAATGTAAATATTTTTTGTTTGTTATGCTCTATTATGATTAAGATGAAAATCAAAAATAGTACTTTAAAAACCATTCATGCACAAATTCATTCAGATGATTCTAAAGGTTTCACAACCATATGATCGCATCATATTGACAACAAATTGACATTCACAACCAAAACTACTGGTGAAAAGGTTTCCTTTTTTATGACCATTATCAACACATCAATGACTGTTTACAGCTTAAGGGTTTGCTGCTTTGCTCTGATCTGAGCCTGCACATTCTCCAGCCCACTTCACACATGGTCTTTCTCTCAGAACTTACTCACACACCACAGAACACTCATAGTTTCATACTCCCTACACAAGCTGTCACACGCTCCTCATACTGCATAGGCCCAGGATACGCTGTCACACGCTCCCCATACTGCATAGGCCCAGGATACGCTGTCACACGCTCCCCATACTGCATAGGCCCAGGATACGCTGTCACACGCTCCCCATACTGCATAGGCCCACGATACGCTGTCACACTCTCCCCATAC